TAAACGAACTGGAAACAGGCCAATTGCCTATGTGTATGAAGGACAATGGATTAGTCCAAGTTGGAGATTTACCATGGAACATGGCAACATCACCTATTCTTTTGTCTTCTGCAAGAAGGATGTAAACAGAGAAGGTTTTTGTCTACGTTTACATCATGAACACTTGAGGTTTTGAGCCAAGAAGATCAAAACAGCTTGATCCAATTTCCTTTACAAAGCTTTTTCTGTGGTGACAACAGGACAGGAGAAGAGTTGTAAATGCAGATTATTCACCAGTTGACTCTAACCCCCACAGGATGCCTACAGTGAGAAAATTTGGGGAGTTAATAGGAGTCATAAAGAAGGGTGTTCACCAGGCTGCAGCTTTGAAGCTAGCTGAGAGCCACATGGACAGACAATAAAGTCAACTGATGTGTTTAAATACATATGTCTATATACAGTTGGATTGTAGTGACATATGATTTTTGAGAATGATGATTCTTCTTGTTCGACTTTTGACATTCAGTTGTTTACTTGCAGAAATACATAATGAATCGCACGACAGGAGTAGATCCGCCACAAGGCTGGATAGGTTGGTTACTGTCTGGTCCTTGGTGGCATCTTCTTTTGAAAATATTAATTCCTGTTTTTGTATTGTTGATACTGATTTGCTTATGTATAGGATGCATTTTACCTTGTTTAAGATCAATGCTGACTAAGATGATTTCCAATACATTTTTTAAGTGATCTAGTAGCTCTGTTTGGAAGTTCAGTTAACGCTAGAAATGTGTTTTGGAGGTTCTACGTGTTTTGTCTCTAAGGACCACCGCATATACTTATATATAAACATATATAAATAAAACCAACTTTTTTTTACATTAGTAATTCCTTTTGTGCATAATTTTATATTATTGTTAATAATAAATTAATTAAAGCAACAAAACAACCTGAAGAGCCGGTTGGGAGCCAAAAGAGCCGGTTCTCTAATAAGAGCCGGAAATCCCATCACTAATATTTTCATACAGCATATTGAGATTTGTCACTGGAGGAAACATTTGTAGGCCAGTGTATGTTTGTTCAACCTGTAAATCTTCATATTTCACAGTCACGTTACACATAGTTGAGATCACCCAACCCACTGCTCTAATGCAAGAAGGAATTTCCTCTTAAGCAAACAGAACATACAACAAAAGAAAAAACAGGTCACTCAAACTAACCTGCCTTGACAAATTAAAAGTAGCAGAACTTGTTTTGAAGTAAGAAGAAAAGGCCCTCAAGGCAAATTCTCACGAGGGCCTAAGAGTACATCTTTCACCATCTTACAATACTGTGATTGCAGCCATTCCCCAACTCTCTGTCAATGGTACTCATGGCCAATGATCAGTGGGATTTGATCAATGGTTGTTGATCAATGGTCATGAGAATTTGCATAATCATGATGAAGGAACTGACCTCCCAGCCCATTGTTCCTTCAGTGGTGCTAGTTTCAGTCATTATGCAAATGTACTGTTTATAAGATTGGGGAAACCTGCAGTCAGCTGAGACTGAAGAAGTCACTTGGATGAGTGATGAAACGTTTCTCCCACAAAACGCTACGTCCAGATGAACACAACCAACTTTTGGGGATTTACTTACCTGAATGAGCATGCATCAAGAGGTTTTAACCCACTTTGGCAAGGACTGCCTAAAGCTAAATTTAAAAGCAGAAAATTAGAGGCCATCCAGGCCTTTATGTTTATGTGTGTTATCTGGCTTCATGGATAGATAAAGTTGGGTGTCATCTGTATAGCAGTGAAAATGTATGCTATGCGTTCTTATGATGATAATAATACAGTACACTATGATATCAGCAGGACTGAAGTGATATCTATTTATTAGGCACAACTGGAAGTCTTGTTATTCTGCTAAAGTTTTTTCCCACCAGTTTTTGCAAACACTTTAGAAAATTATATTAGCTTCAATAAAAATCATTTAAACATTTGCAATGTTTATTACCTCATTGTCTTACTTTAAACTAATTATTACAACAATACAAAGTTTTAAACTTTAGGTGATCTCAGTTATAATATTGTATTAAAGCATTATTGCAACTAATTGTACTATTAGCCATCAATACAAGGACGAGACAGCTTTAAAGATGGAATACAGATAAGGCAGGTTTAAGGGTGCAGTGAGAACTGAACATAACTGGCATCTCTTTAGTTTTTCTCTCTCTTTCAGTTTACAGTTAAAATGAAGACTGGCCATTTTAATGTCACCTCACAGATTATCATCATCACCAGGAGACCAAGATAACAATGAAAGATTACTGAACATCTGTTTTGTTGATTTGTTTGTGGCATTTTCTTTCAGCTGTCTTGTGTAACAGTTTCCAAAATGCTGATAGATTTTCACTAAGTGCAGCCAACACCTATGATACTCTCAGAGGTTGGGGAAACAGTAAGTCAATTTTAGTCAAATTTACTTGAGCATACAGTCAGTTATATTCAGGTGTGTTGCATCAGGGACACATGGAAAAGTTTCAGGACACCGGCCCTCAAGGACTGGAGTTTGACACCCCTGTCCTACATAGTCTCCCGTCAGAGTTGTGGCTCTGTAAGAGTGATAGATTTATGGACTATAGAAACATATGATATTGTTACTGTGCTTTACATTAAGTTGTTTACAATAAAAGCAAGGAAACACTTATTTTTGCATGACTTTTAATTTTCACATTGAATTAATGAAGAGAATAAAGGCACCATATCAGTTGTTTTTTGTTTTTGTTTTTAATGATGGATAAAATCTGAATGAAATTTTTATGAACCATTTTTGTAACTTAATTCTCAAAATATGCTTTAATCTCAGTGTTCGACATTCACACATAAGAATAACGTTTCATCCAGGCGATTAAAATTTGTCACAGGAGAAAACATTTGTAGGTCAGTTTCTGTCTTTTAACGTGTTAATCTTCATAAACCACAGTCACGTTACACACAGTTGAGAGCACCCAAGCCGCTGCTCCGCCAAAACTGCCAAATAATGCAGTGGCAGCCCATGACAAACCTGCTGCACCTACAGTGAAATCATGTTAGACACTATTAGCTCTATTAGCTTATTCAACATGAGCAAAGCTTTTAGAGAGAGAGAGAGATAATATATAGTAAATTATTCGGTTTACCTGCTGACTGCAAAACAGCCACTGCACTTCCTGCTGCCACTCCTCCTCCATTGGCCACAGCAGCTGCAGACATCATGCTTGCAGCGTAGGAGCCTGCAGCTATTCCTGCTGAGGTGAAACCAGCAGCTCCCAGAAGAGCAGGAGTCAGAATCACAGTTCCACCAGCTCCTAAAAAAACCCCAAAAAACATATATTAAAGATTTTCATTTCAAAATTATGCTGTGGTTAATGTCATGGCATACCTGCAGACACAAGGACCGTCTTGCCTGTTAAGGAAATACAAAAAGATGTCAAATAAATTCTTTACAATAATAATAATAATAATAATTCATATCCACTGTATAATGGGATAACACTGTTATTAAAAAAATAGACTCACATATTTCTTCCCATTCCATGTCTGTGCTTTCAAAGATAACATTCAAATGACACCAAGAGCTCAACTGCACAAACCTGATGTATGTTATTTACTTTACTTCCAAGAACTACCCCTCCCATTTATCAAATATGAACAGAGGAGGAGGAGCACAGGGATGTACCTTAAAAAAATAACACAGGCATGTACAGGGAGTGCAGAATTATTAGGCAAGTTGTATTTCTGAGGAATAATTTTATTATTGAACAACAACCATGTTCTCAATGAACCCAAAAACTCATTAATATCAAAGCTGAATGTTTTTGGAAGTAGTTTTTAGTTTGTTTTTAGTTTTAGCTATTTTAGGGGGATATCTGTGTGTGCAGGTGACTATTACTGTGCATAATTATTAGGCAACTTAACAAAAAACAAATATATACCCATTTCAATTATTGTTTTT